AGTTCCCCTCACGGAGCCACAGACCTTGAAAATATATCACCTTCTTTTGCTAATAATCTGACTCCTCAACCAAAGAGATATTTCCCTCCCCACCCCGATCTGCCTTTCATAGGGACTGCTCTCTCCACGACTCCCTTGTCGCTCCACACTCCCCATTAACCCCATCACCCCCGGCACCTTTCACTGCAACTGCAGGAAGTGCTACATCTACCCCTACACCTCCCCCCTCACCTCCATTCAAGGCAAAAAATAAACCTTTGACATTAGACATGGGTTCACCTGCACATCCGTCAACTTGGTCTGCTGCATCCATTGCACCCGATGTGGCCTCCTCTACATCGTTGAGACCAAGTGGAAACTCAGAGACCATTTTGTAGAACTTCTGTGCTCTGTCCTCAACAAACAACAACACCTTCCGGTTGCGAAACATTTCAACTCCCCCTCCCACTCCCTGGGTGACATGTCCATCCTGGGCCTCCTCATGTGTCACAACGACCCCACCTGGAAACTGGAGGAGCAGCACCTCATATTCCGCCTCAGGAGCCTACAGCCCGATGGCCTAAACGTGGATTTTACCGGTTTCAAAATCTCTCCACCCCTGGCCTCATCCCATGATGAACCCTCCTTCTCACCCCCACCTCCTTGACCAGACACAATCTGTCCATCTTCTCTCCCACCCTTCCACCCCACCCATCCTACTGACCAATCCCCACCTCTCCCTACCTGCATCCACCTATCACCATCCCACCTACCTTCCCCAGCCCCACCCTTCCTCTCTCTATTTATTTCTGAATTCCCCTCCCCCTCCCCATTTCTGAAGAAGGGTCCTGAACCGAAACATCAACTTTCCTGTTCCTCTGATGCTGCCTGACCTGCTGTGTTCTTTCAGCTTCACACTTTGTTATCTTTGACTCCAGCATCTGCAGTTCTTGCTTTCTCACCTTCTTTTGCTGTTAGTTTGTGAAAATCCTGGAAATCCCTCCCAAACAGTACTGTGCATTCACCTTCACCAAGGAGACTGCTGCTGACCCAGCCTGGAAAGCCCTTGTTTTAAAAAGGAATTAGTTGTACTTTGTCAGGAGTGTAACAGTATACCGTATGAATTTGGTGACGGTTTGGTCCCTTGCTGGGGTGTTTGTACTCAAAGTAACTAACATGATGAGCTATACTGCTCGCGTTCATTTTTAAGTGGAAGCTCTTGCTGTTGCTAGCATAAGATATATCACGGTTTTATGCTAACTGGTGCTATTTCCTTTGGCCTGCAGCCATCACTATTGTGATAACTGAATGGAGAACAAAGTACAGGAGAGAAATGAACACCAGGGACAATGAAGCAAAGTCTAAAGCTGTCGATTCTTTGCTCAACTTTGAGACGGTAATGTTCATTTGCCTAGGCTATTACTCCTCTGTCATTGGGCAGCTATTAGAGGGAATGGGAGATGCTGAAGGATGATTATGGGGAGAAGGAAAGGGTGTGGGGAGAGGTGAGTGGAAGGTGTGATGTGGGGTGAAAGCGAGTGTTGTGCGAAGCAGTTAATAAAATAAGGGAGCATGGGGAAAGGCAGCAGGTTATTTTGCCAGTTATGGTTAATTCACTCCTCTCACTGGAGTTAAATGAAGGGAAGAAAGAACTTATTCTCCTGCTGATTTCTTGATTCCAGGATGTCCCACAGTGCTTTAGTGACAAAGTAATATATTTGAAGTTTGACCACTATGATGTGGAAAACATAATAACTTTGCACAGTGCAAGCTTCCATTAACAGCTGTTTGACAAATCACCAGATAATCTGTTTTCAGCAATGAAAGAGGATAAATATTGGCCAGGACACCAAGGGTGAACTCAGCTGCTCTTATTTGAAATAAATCCATGGGATCTGTTGGCTCCCATCTGAAAGGTTTCTTCTGAAAAGCAGCAAATCCAACAGTGCAGCATTCCCTCAGTACCGAACTGAAATTTCAGCTTGGATTTGTGCTTGGGCTCGTGTTACCACTGCAGAGACTTATAACCTCTGCCTTAAGAGGCAAGGGATAAAGCTGTACCCAGAATTGAGATAGCAATATGTATGATGCCGAAGGAATGTTTAATGGGGTGGTGGTCAGTTGGAAGAGGGGAGATGTAGGCGTGGGTACATATGAGGTTACACTTGAAGAAGGCACAATTGCAGGAATATCGGGGGTCTGACGTGAACCCACTAACTTCCACATTTAGCTGATCAGCATTTTAGGACAGCCAGGAATTCATGTCTGCACGACACTGCAACTATCTGAAGTTTTGACCCTGCACCCTGGCTCAACCACCTGGAGTGTGGGCTTTTTGGTTTGTCTGAAACAGGGTCATCAAGCCAAAGGCACAGCAGGATTGGTGGGGCTGTGAAAATGACAAGCTGGAAAGTGTTTAAATACTAAACCAAAACCACTACTTCACTTACCAAGTAAAAGGCTTTTACTGAAGGGGTTGTTCTGAGAGTGTGCTTTCACTACTTTTCAGTGTAATTTCTTCTGCCTTGGATTTTGGACTTTGTTCAGCTTGAACTCAGCAGCCAATCTTCACAACAACATAGAAACAACTAATGCAGCGCTACCATGAATCTTTGAGAGCTGAGGAGCACCAGCAGAAATAGCAAATACTTTATCTCCAGCCACCTGTGGCTCCACAGAAGGGATAAACACAAAGTTCTAGCTCGCAGAAGGTGATGACCTCCATAAAAACTGAAAGAACTGCAGATGCTGTAAATCAGGAACAAAAACAAAGTTGTTGAAAAAGCTCAGCAGGTCCGGCAGCATCTGTGAAGGAAAAAACAGTTAACATTTCGATTCCAGGGACCCTTCCTCAGAACAGGTGATGACCTCCATACTAATTACATAACAAAGGATCCGCTTTTTCGATGTGGCTGAGTAACAGTACCTCAACAGGCTTAGACTTTCTTGGCAGGCAATGCTTATCTGTCACATGGATTAAGACATCTCACCTCATGGATTGGGTGGCCCTTGTAAGGAACCACATTTTTCCATTTTCGAATTATAGACTGAAATGAAGTTGAATTGCTACGCAGCTGAAATACAGGAAACTTTTGCAACTGGGAAAAATCAATTGGTGTATATTTTTAGCTGTGCAAGACATTGTTGCTTTTTGAAACAGTGAGGGGGATCGTTTGAGGTAGAATGGTGCCAACAATCTGAGGTAAGGAAATTCTGCCTAATGATAGCTCTCTGGTTGAGTTGAAGTTTGTTACAAAGCTGTAAGTGCAAGAGACATCCAGAGCCCCTCGCTCTCCCTCACCCTTTGTACAAATTAACGGATATAAACCATCTGCATATAATACAACTAACTAAAACTCTAGTCCCATTATAAACTCAATTGGGCACACACACACACAAACAAACAAATGGAAAATGGATTATTGGAAGTAGAAAAGACTGAGAAATCAGTTCAGTAGTCTTTTTCTCATCATTCCAATATCGAGATGATTCTTCTTTGGCTGGCCAGGACCTTGGTGTTCAGCTATCTTTCTCTGGAAACTTACACTGTTTTGAAACAAGTACAGAGTGACTGATTCACTTGGAAGAAGTCTCTGATTTATCAACTCATATTTCACAGGAATTGTTGAGGGAAAGGTAAATTTTATTAAACTTCGCATTTTCTTTTTTTACCAGCAGAGAACACGCACCTTCTGTTGGGGAGAACAGCATCACCTGCCCTTCTCTTTCTGTGTCTGTGTCTCTGTAATTGTTTCCAGTTCCTGCCTGTTCAGTTAGCTGAAAACCAGCCAACTTCCCTTGTAAGCAATTCCCTGTAAACAGTTACTGATCTTCTGTACATTGTAGAAACCCACAACCACAGGAACAGTTCACAAAAGGTACCAAGTTCATTCATTGCTATGAATTATGCTGCTATCCTAGGATGTCCCTGTTTTTAAAAGCAGTTCTTTCTTCTTGCAGTCTACAGCTTTTAAAGGCAAAGTCCTTGTAAGATATCCTTTACTCTGCTGTTTGTTACAATTAAATGTGTTACAGTGCAGTTATTTTCTTTTTAATAATGAAACATGGTGTGAATTGGTTTTGTCCTGAGTAGCAGCCAGACAGGCAGATTGCTCATATTGGTTTAATTGGGATCTCATTCATTTATGGTGCACTGTTCCCAGTTAAGTATTCACAGCCTGTATTTTCAGTGACAATCAAGGCCATGGAATTTCCATCTTCTCCATCTGCTTCTAGGAGCGTATTAGTGCCATCTGCAGGATTTTGCAATCTGCAGCACATATTTGTTTTTACCTAGGTGACTGATACCATGCTTGCTGGGGACAGCATCTTTTATCGATTTGCAAAATCAGCTAGCCATTTGGAATGAGAGCCATTCAGATTTCTGAAAAGGCTGGATCCTCACAAGTCCGCAGAATTATAGACCACACACACTGGTCATCGAGGAACTTTTAAAACTGTGATATCAAGAGCCCAGGGACAGTATGTCCCTGTTAGGGCGAAGGGAAAAGCTGACAGGTTTAGGGATCCATGGCTGACGAGGGAAGTTGAGGCTCTGGTCAGGAAAATGAAGAAGGCGTACATTGGGTTTAAGCTGTCAGGCTCAAGTGAATCCTTAGATGACTATAAAAGGTGTTAGGAGCATCCTCAAGAGGGAAATCAGAAGAGCAAAATGAGGGTATGAGATAGCTTTTGGTAGATAAGGCTAAAGATAATCCCAAGAGCTTCTATAGCTATATTAAGAGTAAAAGGGTGGCTCGGGAGAGAATAAGTCCCCTTAAAGATCAGCATGGCTGTCTGTGTGTGGAACCACAGGAGATGGGAGGCATTTTTAATGAATATTTCCCCTCATTGTTTACTGAGGAGAGAATCATGAATGCTAAGAACGTAAGGGAGACAAGTGGGTGTGTTTTGGACTGCATACATATTACCAGAGAGGAGGTGTTTACAGCCTTAGAACACATGAAGGTGGATAAATCCCTGAGCCTGCTCAAGTTCACCCTTGGACGTTGTGGGAGGCTAGGGAAGAAATTACAGAGGCCCTTGCAGAGATTTTTGCTTTATCTTTAGCCACTGGTGAAGTTCCGGAAGACTCGAGGGTGGCTAATGTTGTTCCATTGTTTAAGAAAGGAAGCAAAGACAAGCCAGGAAACTAAAGGCAAATGAGCCTGACATCAGTAATAGGTAAGTTATTGAAGAGGATAATAGGGGACAGGATCAACCAACATTTGGATAGTCAAGGTCTGATTTGGGATAGTCAGTATGGATTTGTGTGCAAGAAGTCATGTCTGACCAATCTTTTAGTTTTTCGAAGAGACAACCAAGAGGATGGATGAGGGTAGAGCAGAGGATGTTGTCTATATGGACTTTAGTAAAGCCTTTGACAAGTTCCCACATGGAAGGTTAGTCACGAAGGTTAGGTTGCATGGGATTCAGGGAGAGCTAGCTAATTGGATTCAAAATCAGCTCGATGGTAGGAAGCAGAGGATGATGGTTGAAGGTTGTTTCTCAGACTGGAGGCTTGTGACTAGTGGTCCGCCACAGGGGTCGGTGCTGGGACCTTTGTTATTTGTTATTTACATAAATGATCTAGATGTGAATGTACAAGGCATGATTAGTAAGTTTGTGGATGATACAAAATTAGGAGGTATCATTGATAATGAGGAAGCTTATCAAAAACTACAGAGGGATCTTGATCAGATGAGGAAATGGACTGAGAATTGGCAATTGCAGTTCAATACAGAAAGTCAGACCAAGGTAGGGTTTGTACAGTAAATGGTAAGGTCCTGAGGAGTGTTGTGGAACAGAAGGACCTAGGAGTACAAATACATGGTTCGTTGAAAGTGGTGTCACAGATAGACAGGGTGGCGAAGAAGGCACTTAGCATGCTGGCCTTCATCGGTCGAGGCATTGAGTATAGAAGTTGGGATGTTATGTTACAGTTGTATAAGTTGTTGGTGAGGCCACACTTGAAGTATTGTGTACAGTTTTGGTCACCCTGTTACAGGAAAGACTTGGTTAAACTGGAAAGTGTGCAAAGAAGATTTACGAGGATGTTACCAGGTTGGCAAGGATAGGACTTTATTCCTTGAAACATAGGAGCATAAAAGGTGATCTTATTGAGATGTATAAAATCATGAGGGGCAAAGATAGGCTGAATATCTATAGTTTTTTTTCCCAGGTGTGGGGAATTGAAAACTAGAGGGCATAGGTTTAAGGTGAGAGGGGAAAGATTTAAGAAGGACCTGAGGGGCACCTTCTTCACGCAGGGAGTGGTGTGTTAATGGAATGGGCTGCCAGAGAAAGTGGTTGAGACAGTCAGAGAGAGGGGATTGGCATCTGCTGTACCACTCACATTTCCTGAGCTTATTGATCCTTGGTCATATCTCTGAGCAAAGCTGTGCTATTGTGCATCAGACTTCATTAGTTATTTTCACCTAAATGTTTCAGTAGCTAGTTTCTTTCACCCATCTGCTGGGATAAATAGCTTTATGGGCCCTTAGAATGCCACAACATGAGCCCCGCGGCTGCCATAGAGTACAGGGGTTCACTGGGGAGGGAGCCTTCCAAATTGAGGCCCCTATAATTGAAGTTGTGGTTTCTGTCCTGACTTTTGAAGCATGCATCCGTTCTGACTCCTCCTGGGGTCCCTGTTTAAACTGTGATCGCATTTAGTCTGGAAATTCGGAAGCAGGATTGTAATGCCATGGTTTTAATTATAAATCCACAACAAAGCCTTGTTTACCAACTTTCAGTTTACCACCCGGTGAGTGTGTCTGTTTGTCAAAATTCTACCTTGCCACTACATTAACCAGAATAGGCCGATAGGGTTTCTGTGTAATATCTCATGTGATAGACGGCATCTCTAGTATTGCAGTGTTCTTACACAACTGCACTGGAATATCAGTCCTGATTTTCTTTTAATGTGCTTAGGTCTTGTTTGAGTTGTGAGCCATAGCTTCTCCTGTTGGGCACTCTGAGGTGGTCTAATTATTGACTATCTCTGTGAGCGTGTGACCTTTTTTTAAAAAGTTCTCCCATGTTATATAATTTTGCTCTAATGAAACTATCTGAGCATAAAAGTTCAGATGGACGCTGCCCTTTCTTGTGTCACTTGCTGGCTTTAGTGAATTAGGGCCTTCCTAAATTACCTTTGATCTCATTACTGCTTTGGTGCTGGAGGGAAGTGAATTAGTGACATGTTTAACATCACAGGACTGCACTTTCTGCTCTGTTGGCCGCAGAACACAATGAGACGTTGAAGATGCAGCCGTGCTTTTAGCTCTCAACTACAGTTCTGTGCCTTGCAGCATTCTGGAAGGCCATCAAAGGTTTTAACATTTCCCACCTCTTCCTGGTTCTTTCCTCTGAAACTTTCTTCTTTGCTACTGGGATCAAATTAACTTCAAAGCATATTTGAATACAGAATTGTACTGATCAGATAAAATGGAAAGACTCATTTCTGCCTGGTAGTCTATGGCCAGTACAAAGTGAACGAAGGATCAATTCTCTTCATTTTTTATATTTTTGTTAAGGGACAACAGTTGAATAAACTCTGAAGCTTTGCGGACATCCATATGTCTGACTGTTATCCTTGCGGATGAGTTGCTTCTTTGAGAGGCTTTCTGCCTGCTGTATTAGTTTAGGTAGATCTTGAGGTCCCAAAGCACTAACTAAACAGCAGTCGTCAAGTTTCCCCAGGGTAGGGGAGTCCAAAACTAGAGGGCATAGATTTAACGTGAGAGAGGAAAGATTTTTCACACAGAGGGTGTTGTGTAAATGGAACTAGCTATCAGAGGAAGTGGTAAAAGTGGGTACAATTACAACATTTTAAAGACATTTGGACAGGTACATGGATAGGAAAGGTTTAGAGGGATATAGGCCAAATGCAGGTAAATGGGACTAGTTTAATTTAGAAAACCTGGTCAGCATGGACGAGTTAGGCCAGAGGGCCTGTTTCCGAGCTGTACGATTCTATGATTCTAAGTTGTGGCCCAGCAAGTAGCTCTTGTATCTGAGCCAGAAGGCCGAAGGTTTCACTCCTACTCCAGTGACTTGAGCACATATAACCACTGCACTCTTGGAGGTGCGAGCTTTTAGATAGGATTTTGTCCAGTTGGGTTGACATAAAAGATCTCATGGTGACCATTTTTGAAGAGGAGTGGAGTTCTGCTGTTCCAGTCAACATTTAGTCAATGCCACTGAAACAGATAATCTAATCAATATCAGGTTGTTTGTTGGAACTTGTAACAAATTAACTATGATGACGTTACAATAGTGACTGAATTGTCAAATTCATTGGCTGTAAAATGTTTTGGGTCATCCTGAGGTAATGGAAATTTTTCTAAGCTCCAGTAAGGGGGTTGATTCTGTACTCCTAGTATGGAGCTGCTTTTGAATGGAGTTTCAGGTAAAGATGACAGTCCACTTTTCGTGAATTGTGTTAATAGTCTCCCTGAAACGACACCAAATTTCTTTAAGTGGTCGATTAATTCTTTTTCTGCATTCTACATTTCCGTACACAACAGTTGTTGATTGTTTTAAGCGGTTGGGCTCTGTAAACTATGGATAAGACACTGTAAATCCAAGCAAATTTTTGTTCTCTACTTCCTTTCCTCACTCTTACAAACAAATCAATTAGGAGCAAAAGTAGACTACTTGGCCTCCTGAGCCTGCTGTGCCATTTATAATCGTAGTTGGTCTGGCTATTCCGTATTCCTGGCTTTCCCCAGTAACCTTTCACTCCCTACTTATCAAGAACCATTTTATTGTGTCATAAAATATTCAAAGACTGTGTTTCCACAACCTTTTCAGGAAGAAAGTTCCGAAGACATTTTTCTGAGAAAAATACCCACAACAGACTAAGCTGACATCTCTTTCCTTTGCCTTCAGGTGAAGTATTACAATGCTGAGAGTTATGAGGTGAACCGTTTCAATGATGCCATACTGAAGTATCAGGTAAGAGCTCCAGAAGGACATCCCATTCATGGCAATGCTGCAGAATAGATCATCACCTTTTATTCAAAAGCAAAACACGGCAAATTCTGGAAATCTGAAATGTAAACAAGAATTTCTGGATATACCCCCATCAGATCTGGCATCATCTTTGGAGACAGAAACACCATAACATGTCTGCTGATGACCATTGAACTGAAATGTTGATGCTATTTCTTTCTCCCCAGATGATGCCAACCTGCAAAGTATTTCCAGTATTTGTTGATTTATTTTGGTCTTCTGTTAAGCTCCATGACCATGCAGGCAGCTCTTGGAATCTTGGTTCAGTGCCAATCCCAGCATGGAGTTCCGCTCTGTTGTGCTCATAATGCACTAGTCTGTGCTGCCATTAGTGTACTGCACCAAACCAAACCAAACCTTGCTTGATTCACTCATGCTTACAGAGGCAAGCCTTCTTGAAGCATATTTATTTTCTTGTTATGTCCGTTGACTCTTGACGTCCATTCACATAAGTGACTTAAGGAGTAGGCCATTCAGCCCATCAAACTTGTTCTGCCATTCTGAAAGGTCGTGGTTGATCTAATTAGGCCCTTAGCTTCGCTTTCCTATCCATCCTCCCATGACTCTCGACTATCTTGTAGATCAAATATCACTTGAGTCTTGAGTGTAATCAATTAGCTCATCTTCACTTGTTTATAGTGTGATGGGGGGGAGGTGCGAAAGTACATTGGTAATCAATACCCCATCAGTTGCAGTATACATGTATCAATGTGCTGATTCAATCACTGAAATGGCCAAGGCTCCAGAAACAAAGAATAAAATGTGATGGCCTCTCATGGTCCACTGGGTTTCTTGTTAACAAAGATTGAATTGCTGACAGCCATAGACTGATGGAAAGTGAGGGATCTGGGTTTTAGAAATTGGTCACAGTCTAGCATTCAAGGTTTGAAAATGTAGTCAGAGGTACTCGTATTTGGAAACTTTATCAGGTTCCCAGGAACTTTTATTGAGAAAAGAGTTCCATGAGAGATATTTTCAGCTTCTGGGATATCTTCCTTACTAACTGACTTCAATCTGTAACACTGAAAAGTAAATCCAGAAAAGCTTACAAGGCAACTATTAGCGGGGAGGTTCCCTTAGACTTTTCAAAACTAAGCCTTCCAGTCATTCAGGGCCATAATCTCCCTCCTAAATAGCTTTGTTTACTTTCTACAAAGTCAGTTGATTTTTTTCTGGAAGCAACAGATGGCTTACAGCACACATTAAATTATTGACTTTTTTCCCTTGGTATAACCTCACTGAAATCTTTTGGATCCAAGAAATGTCAAAGCTGTTCCATTGCTTCTGATTTTTCCTCCTGGTTCTGTAATGTAAATATGTATTTGCAACAACTTGTTGGACCAGAGATCAAACCCTACCCTGACTGGAGATTGAGATACCTACATGAATTGAGTTTGGGGGTCTAGTATACACAGTGGGTCAAGTGTTGATGTGCTATGGTATAAAACCAGCTTTTTGATGTCCAGAACCAAGTGCCAGACTATTTGTTTTGTGAATTTGAGCATTGACAGTATTCATACAACGCTGAAAATACTAGAAATACTCAACACATCAGGCAACATCTGGAAGAGAGAAAGAGTGCTTGTTCCAGGTCACTGACCTTACATCGAGATTGATACATTTCATTCACTCACATTGGTTCATCGAGCTGAATCTGTTACTGCTTGGTTTCTTGATATTTTATTAGGTAGCAGAATGGAAAACAAATGCCAGTCTGGCCTTTCTGAACCAAACACAGAATCTCATCATTGGCCTTGGGTTGCTCGCTGGGTCACTTCTCAGTGCTTATTTTGTCACAGAGAAAAAGCTTCAGGTAAATGGCATCTTGCATTCTTGGGTCAGTGTTATAAATATCTCTAACATTCTCACTACTCTATTTGAATTTTCTTGTTTTTCTGCATAGGTTGGGGATTTTGTCTTATTTGGGACTTATATTATTCAGCTTTACACTCCACTCAACTGGTTTGGGACATATTACAGGTTGGTGACCTCAGATATTACTACTTGCCTCCTTCGCTCTAATCTTCTCCAACTGCATTTCCTTCAGTGTAATAGTTTCTTACTGCTGTGTGTTCCCCCACTGTATCTCTCTTATAGTGCTTTGTGTTTTCTTATTCCAAATCTCTCAACTCCACGTATTTCTTTAAAACCCTTTGTTTTCAGTTGTTTCTGTATTTATATGGTGAGTCCAGTTCAGTTTTTGGTCAGTGGTAACCTCCAGGATGTTGAGAGGCTGGGATTTAGTGATGGTAACACCATTGAATGTCAAAGGATGGTGGTTAGATTTGTCTGTTATTGGAGATGGTCATTGCCTGGCATTGTGTGGCCCGATTATTACTTGCCACCTGTCAGCCCAAGCCTGGATACTGTCCAGGTCTTGTTGCATTTGAACATGGACTGCTTCAGTATCTGAGGAGTTATGAATATTACTTCCATAAAGGACATCAGTGAATCAGATGCTTTTTTTCCAACAATTGATGATGGTTTCATAGTCACCATTAGACTCTTAATTCCAGACTTTTAAATTCAAATTCCACCATCTGTCATGGTGGGATTCAAACATGGCTCCCAATCATTCCCTAAATGTCTGGATTACTAGTCTAGTGATAAGGCCACTTGTCACCTTCTGTCAAGCAATAAGAAAATCAGAGTTAACATTTTATACATGGATAAGGAGCAAGAGTGTAGCTAGGGAAAGGGTAGGTCCACTCAAGGACAAAAGAGGGAATTTATGCATGGAGCTGGAGGAAGTGGGTGAGATCCTTAAGTGAATACTTTGCATCAGTATTGATAAAGGAGAAGGACATGATGGATGGTAAGTCTCAGGAGGGGTTCGTTGATGTTCTAGGGAATATCAGTATAGAAAAGGAGCAGGTGTTGGGTATTTTGAAAAGCATTAAGGTAGACAAGTCCCAGGACCTGATGGGATCTATCCCAGAATGCTGAGGGAGGCAAGTGAGGAAATTGCTGGGGTCTTGTACAAAATCTTTGTATCCCCCTTAGTCACTAGAGAGTAGCCAATGTTGTTCCTTGCTTTAAGAAGGGCAACAATGAAAATCCAGGAAATTACAGGCCAATGAGCCTTACATCAGTGGTAGGGAAATTATTGGAGAAGATTCTTAAGCATAGGATCTACTCACATTTGGAAAAATGTAGGCTAATTAGTGATAGGCAGCATGGCTTTGTCTGGGGAAGGTCATGTCTCACAAACTTAATTTGATTTTTTGAGGAAGTAACAAAAATGATTGATATTGCCCATATGGACTTTAGCAAAGCCTTTGACAATGTTCCGCTTTGCAGGCTGTTACAAGAGGTCAAGTCAGGTGGAATCCACAGTGAGCTGGTACGATGGATGCAGAACTAGTTTGTTTATAGAAGACAGGGAGCAGCGGTGGAAGGGTGTTTTTGTGACTGGAAATCTGTGAACAGTGGTGTTTTGCAGGGATCAGTGCTGGGACCCCTGTTGTTTGTAAAATATAAATGATTTGGAGGAGAATGTGGATGGCCTGATTAGTAAGTTTGCAGACAGCAGAAAGATTGGGGGAGCTGTGGATGGTGACGAAGGTTGCCAGAGGATACAGCAGGATATTAATAGACTGGAGAGTTGGATGGAGAAATGGCAGATGGAGTTTAATCTGACAAATGTGAGCTCATTTTGGAAAATCTAATGCAGGTGGGAAGTATATAATAAATGGCAGAACCCTTAATAGCATCACCGTACAGAGGGATCTAGATATACAGATCCACAGTATGGCATGCTTGCCTTCATCAGTTGCGGCACAGTGTACAAAAATTGGCAAGTCATGTTGTACTATACAGGCATTAGTGAGACCGCAGCTGGAGTATTGTGCACAGTTGTGGTCCCCTTATTTGAGGAAAGATGTAGTGGCATTGGAGGCATTTCAGAGGAAGTTCACTAAATTGATCTCAGAGATGAGAGGTTTGTTGTAATAAGAGAGATTGAACAGTTTAGGCTTATACTCTCTGGAATTGAGAAGAATGAGGGGAGAGCAAATTGAGGTATTCAAGATGATAAAAGGTAAAATAGATGCGGAGCAAACGTTGCCTCTTGTGGGGCATTCTTGAATGAGGGGTCATAGTCTTCTGATAAGGGGCAGCAAATTTAAAACAGAGTTGAGGAGAAACTACTTCTCCCGAAAGGTTGTGAATCTGTGGAACTCGCTACCGTAAAATGCCGTGGATGCTGCGACAGTGAGTAAATTTAAGGAGGAGTTAGACAGATTTTTAATAAATGGGTTGAAGGGTTATGAGGAGAAGGCAGAAAATTGGGGTTGAGGAGCATATCAGCCACGTTAAAACGGCGGAGCCGACTTCAATGGGCTGAATGGCCTAATTCTGCTCCTATATCTTATGAACTTGTATAGAACTTTAGTGAGGCCACATTTGGAATATTGTGTACTGTCCTGTTTGCCACCCTACCACAAGGATGTGGAGGCTTTGGAGAGGGTGTGGAAATGGTTTACCAGGATGTTGCCTGGATTGGAGGGTATTAGCTATGAGGAGAGATTGGACAAATTTTGTTTATTTTCACTTGAACATCGAAAGATGAGGGGCAACCTGATTAGATATTTATAAAATTAGGAGAAACATGGATAGAATGGATAGCCAGAGTCTTTTTTTCCCAGGCTAGAAATGTCAATTCCTAGGGGACATAGATTTAAGGTTAAAGAAAATAAATTTAAAGCAAATGTGAGAGACAAGTTTTTTTTAATACACAGAGGATGATAAGTGCGTGGAATATACTGCCAGAGGAGGTAGTGGATTTGGATACAACAGTAACATTGAAGAGGCATCTTGACAGATACATGAATAGACAGGGAATGGAGGGATACAGACCATGTAGAAACTAAAGTTGTTTAGTTTAGAAAAGCATGACGTGTCAGTGCAGTGTTGGTGGGCTGAAGGGCCTGTTCTTGTGCTGTATTGTTCTGTGTTCTTATCCTTGGAGTCTCTGGCCAATATTGGGCCACTGAATGTCTGCACCATTATAGAAAGAAGGATCAGCAGATGTAGTGCTCAAGTTAAAGAGAGGAACTAGAACTTACCCACACCCTAGTGGCAGTCAGTACCTTAAGGAAAAGGAAAAGAGAAACCTCAGGGTTATCTCATGATTTTCAGTAGCCAGCCTTGGTCCAATTTCTCCCCCAACCTCAAAAAAAGACAAAAATTACAGGAGAAACTCAGCAGGTCTGGCAGCATCTGTGGAGAGAAAGCAGAGTTAACATTTTGAGTCTGGTGACCATTTGACTTTGTTGTAATGCTTTGTCAGACAAACAGATTTTTAGTCAGTAAAGGAAATGGCAGGAGAGTGACGATTATCAGATGCCATGATCTCATTGAATGTGGAGTAGAATTGATGGGATTACTTCTCCTCTTGTGTCTTATGGTCTTATCAAATCTTGAACACCCATATCATTCCACATGCATTGAATACCTTCAAAATGCTGTGACAGTTGACCGTGTTATCATTTGTTTAATCGATGGGGAACGTTGGTCAGGACATGAGAATTTTCTCCTGTCTTCAGATAGTACTTTAGGATCTTCACAATGAACTTGAAATATCAGAAGAGGCAGGCAGGGTTTTAATTGATAATCTCCCCATGAAGGACGGTAACTCCTACTGCTTCAGGACATGGTATAATAGCAGCCTCACTTACACACTTAAACTCTTCATTGACTTGAATCCACAACCTGCTGAGCCTGTACCATTATGACACATCCTCAGATGCTTCAGTTCCTTTCAGTCCTAAGCTTTTACAGAAGTGTCTGTGTTCTCATTAATGTGTCAAGCCACAACATGGGGCAACAATGATGCAATTGAAAATCTGGAATCCTGAGATTTTGTTGTGGTATCCTCATTACCAATAAGATAACAGTAAAACACCACACAGTTATTAAAACAAAAGCAAAATACTGCAGATGCTGGAAATCAGAAATTTAAAAAAAAGAAATTGCTGAAGAAACTCGAGTCGTGCAGCATCTGTGAAGAGAGAAACAAAGTTAACATTTCAGGCCTGATACAGGCCGTCTCTAAAAAGACAGCATCCTTTCTCTCCTTGAAGAGAAATAACGAAGAACTGGAATTATTCAGCTATTTTCACTCACCATTTGCCTGTTAGCTATTGCCTCTAACTGGTGACAGAGCTTGCACAATTTGTGTGCTAATTGCCCTGTGCCTGGAGTGAAGAATTGAAAGCAGTCAGAAAGAAGATCGGAGATCAGAAGGATTTGAAATAAAGGACAGTCGATGAATCCTGTGAACTGGTGCAATTAAACTGTGTACCTTTTCTGCCTCCACCCATAACATCTTTGTCCATATCTGTCTACATGTGTGTGTAAGGGTTTAAGAAGGGGTAAAGTTTAAATTAGAGAATTATAAGTTGATGAGTTAGATTTTGTTTGCCAGTCGTAAAACTTATTCCTTTGAAATAAACAGTAGTTGCTTGTGAAGTACAGAAACGTAGTCCGTGTTTTCTATTAACCTGGATTTGTCAGTGATGAAGCTTTTGTTGTTCCATCACTACTTGTTGCCAGCCCAGACATATCCTTCAGGATTCTGATTAGTAATGGTGCTACCAAACCATTCTTGGCAATAGATATCAATGTCCCCCATTCGGAGTACACCATGGGCCTTGCAACTTTGTGCTTTCCTCCAAGTGGCATTCAATATGGAAGAGCACCAATCGTCAAATGAGAACGAAGCTATAAGTGCTAATCAGGGTTTCCTTGTTCATGTTTGAGATGATGACCTGAGATTTCATTGGGTTTTAAGTCAGTGGAATGCTGCCGAGCCGATTGTTTCCTTTCTCTGTGCAACTGATACATCACCTTTGATGGATCTTTCCTGCTCGTGGGTCAGGACAGATTGAGGGAAGTTGTTGAGGTGTCTAGGCTATTAGCTATAAGGTTTTATTGGATGAGTATGATTACATCTGGCTGTTGTTTGCCTAGACGGTTGGACTGCTGACCCTAATTTTGATACAAGTCCCAAGTTGTCAATATGAAGGATAAGAGCTTTGTTAATAAGGACTTGGCAATATCATGTAGGTTGGATACACTTTGTTGCTTCCAACATGTAGGTCAATGTTATATGGTCCAACCTGCTTTAGTTTGCTTCAACTTCACTATAGTGGTTGGTAAAACTGAGTGGCTTACTAGGCAATTTAAGAGGGCAACTAAGAGTCAACCACATTGAGTCAGAAGTCATATGTGAATCTGACAAAAGCAGATTACAGTTTTTATTCCTTAAAGATCATTAGTGAACCAGAGGTATTTTCATTATACTCCAATAGTTTCAAAGTTGTCCTTACTGTGGCTAGAACGGCAAATGTTTCTTTCTTAGGGGACAGTCCTGGGACTTTCTTCATTTATGCGATTCAGTTATGCTCATGTGGCAAATTGGCACTATGCAGATTATCACAGAAGTTAAAGTGACCTTCTTCCTAAGATATGAATAGACTGGACTTATTGGAGAAGAAATTTCATTGGGTCTGAAGTCAATGTCGAATTCTTCCAAGTCTTGATGGGATGAACCGTCTGTTCCTGTTCCTGTTTCTTGTGGTCTCTATGTTACTGTTATGAGCGATCCTTGACTCTTCTGTAGAAGTGGTTTTTGCAGGAACTTCTCTTAAAGGTTGCATATCTCTTTTCCCCTTGATCTTTTAGAGGTTTTGTAATTTATATTTTAATTAGTTCATGAGACATAGGTAAGCATTTGAGTCATTTGAGCATCTGGGCTGACATTTAATGCCATCTCTAATTGCACTTGAACTGACTGGCTAATGCAATTTGAGAGGACAGTTAAGAGTCAGCCATATTCCTGTGGGTCTAGAGTCACAGGTAAGCCAGACCAGGTAAGTATAGCAGATTTCCTTCCTTAAAGGACTTTAATAAACCAGATGAGTTTTTAAGGACAGTTGACAGTGATTACATGGTCGCCATTAGGCTAGTTTCTAATTCCAGATTTTCATTGATTCAGATTTCACCTTCTATCAAAGTGAGATTCAAACCCTTGTCCCCATTGGGTGTCTGGATCACTAGTCCAGTGATGGTGCCGTTATGCTGCTACTTCCCTGTAGCATTAATTACAGATGTCTAATCTTCTCTCCCATCTATCCACCAGGATGATCCAGAGTTCATTCATAGACATGGAGAATATGTTTGAGCTCTTCCATGAGGAACAGGAGGTAGGTAGCTTGCTTTTTTTTTTAAATAGTTAACAATTTGTTGTATGTGAAAATGGCACAGTAATAACAAAGGACAGATGGAGATGGAGTGGGGGAAGTGGGGCTGTGGGAAAATTAGACATTTGGGAAGTTAGTCTGTACTTTTTCAGTTCTGACTCCTTTGTGATGTGCAGCACCCTTCACTTCATTAATGTGGTGGTATTGCTTTCTGCCACCTAAGCTTTCACTCCAGAATTGCCTCAAGTATTGTCACCTGTAATTCTCCCTTCTAACATTTAAGATCGTGCTTAAACCTGCATGTTTCACCAAGTCTTTAGTCACCTGTTGTCCTTTCAATTGAGCATCGTTATGTCATATACTCCAGTAAAGCATCTTGAAAAATGGTGTCTATCACATTTATTCCAAATTAGTAAGGGCAGTCTCAAGATCCAGCAAACAGGTAAGTTGTGGATTGTTGGAGATACAATTATAGAAATTCCCAGAACAAAAGGAGGCCCATTGTGCCCACACTGACTGACAAGTCACTATCCAGCTTGATCCTACTTTCTAACTCTTGACCAGTAGTCTTGTAGGTTAGAGAGCTTTGTGCAGGTCCAAGTTTATGCAATGAGTTCCAGATCACTTGGCGAAACCATTTCTCCTTAAATTCCTCTAAATCTCCTATCTTTTACCCCAAATCAGTGGTCCTTGGTAATGGGAGACAACAAGGTGCAGGGCTGGATGAACACAGCAGGCCAAGCAGCATCATAGGCGCAGAGAGGCTGACGTTTCGGGCCTAGACCCTTCATCTGAAA